TTGAAAATCTATTCTATTTCTGAAATTTTTGTCTCCTTTGGTGCTGGATCCAAAGTACAGTTTTTAGAAACCTTAAATCAAGGGTGGAACAATAAATTCACTTGCTGTTAAGACCGTAGGGATTGTTGTAGCTGCTAGGAGAGCATTGCCTATATGCTATGTAGACTATGAGAACTACAGAAGGCCTAGGTCTGTTGCTTTTACTCAGGCAGAGTCAAGAAAATGGCCCTGTGGCAGATGTTTTCAGAAAATGGCCCTGTGGCAGATGTTTTCAGTTTTCTTTACCTAGAAGTAGAGATATTGTTGTGAGAAAGAAGCTAGCTGAGGTTCTTGACACACAGTTCATGCTAGTTTTATTTTATTATTATTATTTTTTGAGTCAGAGTCTCACTCTGTCGACCAGGCTGGAGTACAGTAGTATGATCACGGCTCACCGCAGCCTGATCCTTCCACCTCAGCCTTCCAAGTAGCTAGGACTACAGGCATGTGCTACTATGCCAGGCTAATTTTTCTTTTAATCGTAGAGACACGGTCTCGTCATGCTGCCTAGGTTGATCTTCAACTCCTAGGCTCAGACAATCCTCCCACCTCAGCCTCTCAAAGTTGCTGGGATTAAAAACATGAGCCACCACACCCAGCCTAATTTAAAATTTTACTAATTCTTGACTATATAGTGAGAAATCGTTTGCCAGGATGACAGTCTACTGAAGATTCGCCAGGCCACTGTGAGGAGGGGGGAGGGGTGCTGCCAGAACCTTCCCTACAGAGGCTTTTTAAATGGGTATTGAATTCAGAATGAACCTCACAAAATCGGATCATTACTGAGGGAAGAGCAAAGTTAACATCATATCCAAAGATAATTTTTCATCTGTTCATGAGTTTATATGCTTGTAGCCACATCTGGAAATCTGGCTACCCAAATGAGCACTTTTGTCCAGAGACTGAACAAGCCAAGTGCTAGGAATATTCCACCCTGTATATACAGATGAACATCAAGACTGGACTGTTTCCTTCTTATTGATGCTTAGGAATCATCTGTTGATTTTGATCCATGTCAAAATTCTAAGAAAGATTTTACTAGGACATGGGGTTTCAGAGTTTTTTTTTTTTTAAATTCTGCTTCTGTGAGTATAATTTGGGAAGACCAACATATTGTCTTTAAAATCACTAGATCATGTTGCCTCCTTCTATCATAAAGTGTGCTTTATAATGATTAACACATATCTTTCCTGCCTTATTCTTTATAACAGATGCGAAGCTGAGTTTCACAGGTTAATTTCAGTTTCATATTTTCGTGGACTGTAGCATAGTCCAGAAGCACTATGTAATGACATTTTAAATTTCAAAATGTAGTAAAATCACAAGTCACGTTGTAAAGCCACAGTACTACTCATTGATTATAATATCTCCTTGGTGTTCGTGTCCTTATGTTCTTACATAACTCAATGTGCCAGTATTTTATCAAATCTGTCAACTCTTGTAGGGCAGAGACTACATTTATTTACTTTTTTAGACTTTTTGCTTGAAATAAACTTAGACTTAGAAAAAAGTTGCAAAAATGCTATACTGATTTTCATGCACCCTTGATACAATTGCCCCAAATGTTGCCATCTTACGTAACCAGAATACAATGATGAAAACCAGAAATTGACATTGACATCATAGTATATCACTAACCAGTCTAAAGTACTTATTCCAATTTTGCCAGTTGTCCCACTAGTGTCTTTTTTGGGAGGATCCAGGATCCCACATGACGTTGAATTGTTATGTGTGATTAGTCTCATCCAGTCTGGAGGAGTCTGTCTCTAATTTTTTTTTTTTTTTGAGTTGAGTCTCACTCTGTCGCCCAGACTGGAGTGCAGTGGCCGCTCCCAGCCACCGCAGCCTCTACCTGCTGGGCTCCAGCGATCCTTCCACCTCAACCTTCCGAGTAGCTGAAATTACAGGCATGTGCTACCACACCTGGCTGATTTTTTGATTTATTGTAGAGATGAGGTCTCGCCAAGTTGCCCAGGCGGGTCTCGAACCTGCGGGCTCAGGCAATCCACTCACCTCAGCCTCCCAAAGGCACGGGATTACAGGCTGAGCCACCGAGCCCGGCTCTAATTTTCATGACTTAATACTTTTGTTTTTATTTTTTGAGTTGGAGTCTCACTCTGTCACCCAGACTGGAGTGCAGTGGCTGCTCCCAGCCACCGCAGCCTCGAACTGCTGGGCTCCGGCGATCCTTCTGCCTCAGCCTCCCAAGTAGCTGGAACTACAAGCGTGCGCTACCACGCCTGGCTAGTTTTTGATTTATTGTGGAGATGAGGTCTCACCA